TCGAGGTGTCCTAAGCTACTACGTTGATTCAGAGGCCGGGGTTCACGAAGGGAGTGACCACTGGAAGGAAGGCAGCTAGAAGACCGAGCTAAAGGCTCGGTCTCTAGCTGTAAGGCTGTAAGTCCGGTCCATCGCCTCCAAACCAARAGGGAGACATTGTCTCCTCTCAAAGACCCATCGGTGTCCTTGTGGGTAAACTGGGGGAGGAGCCACACAGGAAAACACAGGATTAGATCAAGGGCCAATTACACACAATCAAATTTATACAGCCAGGATATCAGCTGTAAGTAGGCTTACCAGGTATCAAAACTACTCACAATAAGTTAGGGATATTTGGCTTTTGGGTTAAATTTCAGGACGAGCCTAAAATGCATTTAAACCTTTACAGGTGAACTTAATGTGGCATTTTCTAAGCTTTTGAATGCATCTATCCAACTCTTAAATATTTCAGTTCTTATTGCACAAGTTGCTGTTTTCTAACGAGGAGCTTAACGGCAAAATTTACAACAGGTGTTTGATCCTTGAATCAACCAATAAATGTCCTGGTTCAATTAGAGCTGGTGTTTAAACAGTCATCCCCATCATGCTGTTCACATTTTGACAAGATGAGACCAAGACGACGCCTAACAATGGATCAACAGTACCTTGCCATTGGGATGCTTCAAACAGGACGTTCTCAGATGGACGTGGCCACTGAGCATAGAGTGTCACAGAGTGTCATCAGCAGGTTGCAACAGAGATACCGAGAGACTGGAAGAGTCACAGAAAGGTGTAGAAGTGGATGTCCTTTGACCACATCCCATGCTGATGACCGCTACATTGTGAACAATGCCCTGAGAAACCGGATGATGAATGCCACTCAGGCACAGTTAAGGGATGTGAGGCACCCAAGTGTCACGTCAGACCATTTGAAACCAGTTACATCAGCATGGTCTGTGTGCTAGACGACCTACAAAGGTACCTGACCACACCACCAGGCACAGGCGTCATCGTCTTGCATGGGCCAGGGAGCATTTATGCTGAACGACGGACCAGTGGGCCTCAGTGCTATTCTCTGATGAAAGTAGATTCACAATGAGAAGAAATTATGGTCGCCAGCGATGTTGGAGACAACAAGGAGAGCCCTATGCATCAGCCACTGTTGTCACCAGACAAGCTTTTGGTAGTGGCGATGTTACAGTGTGTGGGCAGGTGTCTCCAGTCGGTACAGAACTGCCCTACACTTTGAGAATGCTACAGTGACAAGCCCATACTACCTGAATAACATCATTAATCCAGTGATTGTGCCCCTACATGAACAACACAGGCCTGATTTCATCTTCATGGACGACAATGCTCCAGCTCATCGAGGTCACGTCATCAGGGAACAGCTGTTGGAGACTAGTGTACCTCAAAATGGAATGGCCTGCACTTTCTCCAGACCTGAATCCCATTGAAAGCCTGTGGGATCAGCTGAGTTGCCATGTAGAGGCTCGAAACTCTGCACCCCAGAACCTGAATGATCTGAGGGCTGCCCTTCAAGAAGAGTGGGATACCATGCCCCAGCAGGCAATAAGTCGACTTGTGAACAGCATGAGACGTCGTTGTCAAGCTGTAATTGATGCTCAAAGGCACATGACGAGTTATTGAGACGTTCAAATTTTTTGTTGTGGTGTACCCACTATTGTTAATTTTTGTTTCAATAAAATGTTTGAGATGAGGATTGTCCTACTTTCATGATATATCACTGCAGCGTGAACTTTATGTTTTCCATATAATTCACCTGAAAGCCAAATATCCCTAATATTTTGTGAGTAGTGTATGACAACTGTATATAAAAAATTATGGCTCTATGTGTCGCATGAAGTGAAGTGCCAAATTTCCACAAGGTAGTGTAATTAAATCATGMGTTGCAGTCCTCAGTCTACCTGTAACACACAAGTCTAAAACTGCACATTATTATTCTCACAGTTCAAAGGAGGAGAAAAAACCCTCCAGACTGCTGCTTGACACAGAGACTTCCTGTGCAGCTGGGGTGGCAGCACATTTATCTGGTTTTAAGTGAGAAATAAGGAGTTTGCCCAGTTCTCTCTACTTTTATCCATGGTATATCCAGGTTTCATTTGGGTTAGAGTTCCTACTCGAACAGCCTGGCCCAAAAACCTCACCACCCAGAAACCCTGGATTCGTGACAGCACTCCTCTTGAGATTTTTAACTGTTCACTGACTGGGATAATTTTTAGGAGTCTGGAAGTAAACTCCAGCGGTACAGGGCTCTCAAGTGTCACGCATTGAGAGTGACACACATGCATCTGAGGGTCTGACACGCTTTCACGCCACACCCCATCTTTCTCGCTTTGAGAACTGACTAACGCCAAAAACTCAACTCCGGTCCAGTTTATCATTATAAAAATACAAGTATTGATATACACTCACCGGCCACTTTATTAGGTACACCTGTCCAACTGCTCGTTAACACTTAATTTCTAATCAGCCAATCACATGGCGGCAACTCAGTGC